TGGGTGTTTGGGGAGGTGGGGTGTGGGCACAGGCAACACATGGTGGGGGTGAAAAGGAGCACAGGTAATGCAACAGGGTGGATGAGGAGGCACGTGCCACCCCACAAGATTTCTGCTCCTACAGTGGGCCATGGGGCTGCAGCCGGGCCAGACCAGCTCCAGGCAGAAGCTGCCTACATGGCCTAGAGGCCAGGACCTGGCACAAGCGGGAATGCTGTGCTACCACGGCCACCAAGGTGAGGCACCCCTGCCCACCTAGCAGCAGGGGGGGCACAACTCCACACTGTGGCTGCAGCCACTGCTATGTCTCAACTTGGAGGCCATGATGGCGGGGTGCTCCTGCCTACATCAGGTCCCACCTGCTGCACTGTGGAGGCAGGTCCTGCCCAGCGCTGGTATAGCCCCACTGCATACCTGCAGCCCACTCTGGATGAAGAAGTCTTGGGGAGCACATGAACCCCCGCCACGTTGCCTTGCCCCCCCCCCAATCTCAACCTCCTCTCTCTTATCCAGGTGGCAAGCTACCTGGTCACAGAAGGAGACGAGACTGGTAAGACAAGACCTGTCTGCAACGAAGCCATGCTGGCTGTCATTCAGAATCCTATCTTCTGCAAGCATATCGCACATAGGCTCCTTGATGAAATTTTCCAGGATTTTCCCTGGGATGGAAGTTAGGCTAATTGGCCTACAGTTGCCCGGGTCCTCTCTCCTCCCCTTCTTGAGCATGGGCACAACACTGGCCCTCTTCCAGTCTTCAGGGACCTCCCTTAAGCACCATGAGTTTTGGAAGAGTTTCACCAGAGGTCCCGTGATGACTTTGACCAGCTCCTTCAGCACTCTCGAATGAAGTTCATCTGGTCTTGCTGACTAATAAATGTCTAACTTTTCTAACTGATCACGCACCAGCTCAACATCAACAGTAGAAAAATGGTCATTCCCACCATGCCCATTCTGAACCTTATCTAGCATGATTTTCCCTTAGTCCTCCTGTTCCCTACATACCTAAAGAAGGACTTCTTATTGTTCTTTCTTTCTGTTGCTACTTTAAATTCAGTCACCAACTTAGCCTTTCTAATCTTCTCCCTACAAGTGTGGATGCCCCCTGCCTCTGATCGCCCTCCCCACTCCCCGCAGCCCCAAGCAGCTCCTTGCAGGCTGGAACCCATCATTTCCCATGTTTTTCCTCCTTTAAAGGGAGAAAAGCTGTGTTTTTCTCCGTTAAAGGAGAAAATTCATTTTTTTCTGCAGCAAATGGAAAACCCAGATTCCTGGTAACAGCTCTGTGCCTCGGTCATCATTCCTAAGCACGTCACCTTATATCTAGCACACTCAACATAACTGAATCCATCTTTTACAACATAAAATCATATGGAAATATTACATCATTTTCCTCAGTTTTGGGCCCCAACAGCCCTCTTCCTGAGGGGGGCCAGGGCCCTCAGGCCCCCCATGTACTCGGCCCCTGTGCCTGTGAGCTAACATATGATTTGTTCACATTTAACAACGTTCTGCAGCACTATCCGCAGAGTCATACTTCAATGCATACTCTGTTAATTTTACTAAGTTTACTGAGGGGACCTTAATTATACAGCAGCCTAGTTCCAGGTGAGCTCATCTACAAATATGTAAAAAAAACCCAAAAAAACAATTAAGAGGTAATCAAGAGAGTCTCCACGTAGATAAAACAATAAGAAGTTCCCAAGGTCATAGACTAAAGATTCATTAAGTCCAAGGGAAACAAACATTTATAGATCTGAGAATATGAAACTTATTGTGATTATTTCATGAGTAAGTTAATATTCTGGTTTTGAAAGATACAGTCTATTGCTAGTTGCATGATTAATACTAATAGATTTGGGGTTGGCCAGGTAATCAAATCACAGCATTCTACAAATTCAATAAAGAGACCAAGGTGTGAAACCCAGGAAGCACTGAGATACTCTTAAGATGAGTGCTAAGATGGACAGACTGAGGAGCCTGGTATCATTTCTTACCACTGATAGGTTATCTCAAATTAATAAGAAAGCAGTTGAGTGATCTAAAGCACTTAACTACCAGTCCACCCTATTTTAGCCATAAAGCATGGCCCACAAAAGTAAATTTGTGAGGAACTCCAAACATTTTAAATGGTTCGAAAAGATTAAACCGGCTTACTCTCAACCCCAAGAGAAATTTAGTTCTGCAAACTGGTAGGCTCCACGATGTAAATAGCTATCTAAACCAGGCAATTACACATTTATGATACATTTCTGACATTTTTTTGAAGGATGCTCTTAGAGAGGTTCCTCAGACAAAGCTTCAATACCTTAGTAAAAATATGTTTCATAAAACTATATCTGCCATACATGGTGCTCCTGAGTTCATTAACAGAATGGTCAGAGCCAGAGAGTGGGAGTCAGGAACACTTAACACTGACTTATCTCTCTCTGGCTACTGGCTACACAGTTAATCTTCTTAATATGTACAAAGAGTATAAATGGGAGTAGGTACCCCTATACCCAACTAAAAGCCATACAGCAGCATTCTACTTTGGTGCAAAGATCAATCTCAGTCAACTGATTTCTGAATCAGAACATTAGAGGTATCTCACACAGCTTTGGAGAGTCTGCACTCCTTTCACATATGAGATTCAGGAAAATTTACTTCTGCTTCAATTATCTTTGTCCTATTACTTTTTTTTAAGATTAACAATAGTAGTCACGACCTCTTTTACATAAAAAACTTGGAGGAATTAAGCTCCACCCACTGCTGACATTGCTACCAAGCACATACAAATAGCATCCTTTCACCCTCGCTCTCCCACGCTCTTCTCAAATACTGCTACATTGTCCTTGCTTCTGTCAAAGCTGGTACACTGCTGCCTCCCTCAGTGGGGGAAAGGAATAGAAATACCACAGTCTTGAAGCAGCGCAGGTTATAGCCAGTGAATAATAGAGCTGGTCAAGAAAATAAATACATTTCACATATCAGAAAATTGGATAGAAACAATTAAATAAAAAATCAAAAGTTTCCAACCAGGTCTATAACTGGTCAACAAAACTAAAGGGAAGAGAAGGGAAGTTCAAAATTCTAAAGTGTATTTTTTTTAACTGAAAATTAAACTGTTGTCCAAAATGTATTGTAACTAATAAGAAGTAAAAAAATTCAGGTAGCTAATCCTAATACGGATTGTGACCTCACCTGTTCGTGTTCTCATGACAGGTTTGCTTTCTCCAGTGCCAGCTGCTTTATTTTTGAGACAGTTGATCCATTTTCCCATCAAATCTTTTTCTATAGTTGCAGAGTCTAAGAGCTCACCTGTAAAAAAATGTGATCTGAGAAAGTCGAAATGAAATAAAGTACAACCTAATAGGGAAGGCAAAAAATTCTCCATCTGGATGTTACAAATGTCTCCCTGTGAATGGAACACTGTAGGCAAGGGAAAAAAAACCCCAGACTATTGGCCTGTAGAAAGGAAATTTGTGGATTAGCAGCTTGTAAAATTACCCAGGCTCTATCACATAAAAATATCTTAATTTGTTCTTCTCTACTCATATAAGAAAAAGATAGTATAAGATATGCAAATGAAAGAAAGTTCCAGAGACAAATGTAGGTCCAAATCTGCAGTGTACTAAGCACCTTCTGTGAGTTACTAAGAGCCCTAAAATGCCACTTTAATTGGACTTGATGGAATCTTCCACCAAGTAGACCCAACATCAGGGACTGCACACCCTGCACTAACACACATATACAACACAGTAGAAAATCATAGGTAGAAAATGGTTTTGTGATTTATTTCCCATTCTACAAGCTCTTTCCTTTAACTGGTATTCATCATTGTAGATCTAGTGCTTTATGGAGAATCACTTTGGCAAAGAAAAAAGGCCATATCACCTTTTCTTTAACTCATCAATTTATTTTGCATTTTACATGTGTAAATTGAATGATTAGTTCTCTGATGCTAAAAAGAAGGATTTCACTAGCTGTTAATGGAGTATTTAATAACATTCTATTAAAGAAGGAAGGTTTTATTAAAATGTGTCCACTATGAAAACAGATTCAAAACAAACTTACTCAGGTTATCATCTCATGAACAAGCCACCAAAGCAAACATTATCTTATTACACGGATCTTTGACAATTTGATTTTTAAGGCTACCCTTCTACCCCTGGGCACAGATGGTTTCTATTTCAGATATATGAATCTGAGGGCAAATTTTGGCCTATAACGTAGAGCTTGTGTACCTAAAGAAGTTTTATGGTGAATCATTAACTGTCACAATGCTGGCTGTTATTGCAGAGAAAAAAAGAAGAATGCACTGGGGAGACCAGAAAGGGAAGGAAAGACACTAAAATGGGTGTCCACAACTGGATAAAATGCATATGCTTGCTAATATGTTTTAACTAACAGATCTTAAAACCCCTGTGCTGACAAGGCTATCTGTTTTCTAACATAAGCTATTTGGTCATGGTGAACTCAATGTGGGAGCCCAGGCCATGGTACAAACATATGTTAAAAACCTGTATTCCTTGTCAACATCAGCTTTTAAAACATGTTGGCTAAATGCTTTTTAGATAACTTTTTTTTTAATTCTAGTGAGGACAAATTCTTATTCTAAGAATATATATGTTTGAAAAATACATTGATCAGTAGCTTGAATATTACTTATATCCAGCTTAAATATAAAGCAAGATAAGAGTAAAAGGGCAGGACAGGAACACTATCCTGGAAGTCAGGATAAGTCAGAAACTTTAATTAGAGACCTGTTAAGTAAGATGGTCTGTCCCCGACTCCCTTCTACTTTTAATCTTACCTGCTGCAGGCTTGTTCAGCCCACAATATATTTTTGAAACTTAATATCATCTACTTCCAAATGCCTTTAGTGATGGAAATTCTACTAACCTTTTGGGAAGCTACTGTAGATTAGCTATTTTTCCAGTATGGCGATTCTGAGTCAAGGTAACTTTCAGATCTATTTATCATAGCAATAGAACTCCAGTACATAGAAAAACTGAATAAGGGCTTCCCAACCTAAATAACCTGTTTGACACAGTACATCTGCATTAAGTCTTGGTAGAGCAAAAATATATCTCTGGCTGAGCAAAGGCAGAGTTTGAGGATTCTACTGCTTTACACAGCAAGAAAACTGGAGGTAGTTCTTATTTTATTTTGTTGTTATTTTTGCTGATCTGGGCCCCCACTGTGTAATTTTAAGACTAGATGAAATATGTGGTAAGCTTTGCATACCTTCATCATTTTGACTTGTTGACTTCCATGTGCTTTCAGATACATCTGACACAGCAGGACACTCTGAGTTCTCTGTGGTACAATAAGATGCAAATGGTTCGTTTTCGTATTGTTTGCAGGCTTCTTCCTCCTCACTGAAGGACTCAAATGTATCATCTGAATAATCTGAAATACAGCTACTGCAACTACTGTCCAATTCCATCTGCTTGTCCTCACAGCTCCTGGGTCACCATAGGATAGTACTAAAAATAGTAATAAAAGGTAATATTCATAACAGAGTCAGTACCATAACTGTAGTAGAGCTACTAGCCTGGCAATTAGCAGTCCAATTTACATAGCCAGCTTACAAAGAGATGTTACAGGATTCAGCCTTCCTCTGTGTGTTCAAGGATGCAGCTCAACTCCAAGTTTGTTGTCAAAACATGAGGATGAAATAGTTATTTCAAGAATTTCCAATACATCAAATAAATTTGCAATGCATCCAAGTATTTTTTACATCATTGCAGACATTGCAACCTTTTAAAACACTACTGCACAGAAGTACGTATCATTATTTCTGCCATGACGTCACCAAATGATCTTATTGCTGCAGTTGCTTATGAAAGATTGAGCCATATACTTTGGTATTTTAGTATGAAATCTATTGCAGATCAAAGACATTTCATTTCTAAAAATGTCCAGAACCAAACAATGTGCAAAGGTAGTTACATTCACTTCTAAACATTTTTTTAAATGTATAAACAACCCTTAAATTGTGAAATCCTTAATTAGACAAAATTATCACTGAAGTCAGTGGATATTCAGTCAAAGTAAAAACAAAACACTAGATTCTCTCAACCTTATTCATAGAAGGGCTACTCTCATAGTATGGCACTGCTTCATGCAAGCCAAGTTCAAGCCCTGAATAAAGAATTTAGGGTACCACCCCTTTATGATGATGACTACCTCCTCCAATTTACTTTTTGATAGCTCATCTTTCACAACAGGACTTTACAAAAATACTATGCAACTGTGCTAGTAAAAATTAGTGTAAAAACTTTAAAATGAATTACAGATAACAGTTTCTCATATGAATGTAAAAACAAAAAGATCAAATGTTTACGTTATGTTGCTGTGGGTTTTCATAACTCTCATTAGTCGTTTAGAAATGCAAACTGTCCTTGGTTTACTCAACTTTATGCTGTGGAAAAAAAAAGGAAAAATAACAAACACCATGTCTTTGATACATTTAAATTAATGAAGGCTTATCCCAAGTCTGAGGGAAAGAAAAAGCAAAACAAAACCAAACTACAAGGGAAAAACAAACACTCATATAGGTAACTAGTCATGAAGAACTGATCTCACTTTATCCTCTCTTTGGAAGAAACACTGATTAGGACATAATTTCATTCTATTCAAGAAAATGCTCTGCTCCACTGTATATTTGACATATTATAATAGCATTGGATACAGAGAAGTAGAAGCACCTTGACAGAGTTTTTGTACAGCTTACAAATGTCTTTGCATGATAAAGCACTCACAGATACTCTTGCCTCCCTGGTCTTCAGTTTAGAATGTTTAATAAAATATTAATCCCATATTTCTTGAGCAAGAAAATTTGTTATCCATTTTACACCCAATTTGCATTTCTTGTTCATTCATGTAAAACAGATCAGTTCCAAACTTCACATCCCCAAGTTTCTTTCTTTAAAAAAAATAAATTAAAGGAAACCTCTATTTAAATGCAGATCAACCACTCACTGAACAAAAGATAACAATTTAACAAAACAAATTATTCCTTAAAGAAAAAGTAATTATTTTTCTTTAAATGAGGCTAAACATTCTCTACTCACAGACAGGTACTTCATGTTAAAAATAACTTTGTCAGTGAATAGAGCCTTTATACTGAAGGACCCAGTTAATTTAAAAATAATTGACAAAAATGACCCTTTAATGGAACAATGTCCAAGTGTATGAATAAGGCTCTGATTTGAAAACCAACAAATGATTATATTTAAGCAAGAGGGCAGTGCCAGTGAAGTATCTAGAAGATATGTGGAAGCAAATCTTCTCCATGAGTAAGCAAATTGTGGGTAAAACAACATCATAAAGGAAGAGGATAAAGTAAGCGATACTGGTGTTTAAAAATATTTCCAAGAGTAACATGAGCATGTCACTGTCATTGCCTTCTTGATAACGTGAGGGGGTTTTTTAGTCACAAATTCATGTGCTAAAAGATATCAGAGAAGTTGCGCTGGAAAGGGCCTCTGGAGGTCATCTAGTCCAACTTCCTCCTGCCTGAGGCAGGTTCATCCCTAGCCAAACCATCCTATACAAATCCTTGTCTCACTTATTCCTAAAAGTCCACAACTTAACCCTGTTACACAACTACAAGGCAAATAACACCCTAACCTACCTGAGATAAAGCAGCGGAACAACAGTGGTCAATGTCCAGCTTCTGCAAGAGCTGTTAAAATACAATCAAGAGATCCAATAAAGGGACCATGCCCCTCACTACAGAGGAAGGTAAAAACTCCCACAGTCCTTACCAGTCTGGCCATGAGGGAAAATTCCTCTCTGACCCCAAAGGCAGTGACTGCTCTGACCCTGAGCAGAAGGGCAAGATCCTCTTGTCAGGAATCTCTGGGTTTTACTCCCAGCAGGAGCATCAGCACACTCCTGTCACTACTTCCATGTTCACAGACTATTCTTAAATGATACTGACTACGTTCACCAAACTGGTACAGGGCAAAAGACTGATGTGGAACCTCACCCAATCACATGCAACTAACAAAGATGCTTCCATTTGCAATATGCATTTAAGGTGACATCCTGGCTCTTATATCTATTGGTCAAGGGATGTTCTGCCATACTCTTCAACAGAGTCAGAATTTTACTGGGATTATTTAGCACTGCACTGAGATATGCAAATAAATTAAATTACTAATGCCAGTGGAAATTCCTCTTCCACACAACTAAAGGACCAGACTCAATTAATCACAAGCTTAATCCTTTTTCCCACTGAAATCATAAAGCAAGAGTAACCTTAGTGAACCTTGCTGAGCCCATCGCCTAAAAACAGATAAAGAAAAATCTGCAATACAAAGATTTAATTTATAAATTGTCTCACATTCAATGTTCTGTGAAAGTTTTCATTTAAGAGTAAACTAACTACAATGATCTGCCTGCAAACAGAAGAGCAGAATGAAGAGTCCAATCTTGTTCTCTCTGGCAAAACTCCTGATGACTTCAATAGTGGAGAATCAGGACTAAAAATACAGGTATTACACAATGAATTAATCTGAACCTAGTTTATATATACATATTGGTAATTTCTAAAAAGAAATAGAAAACCTTTTTATGCAGGTCAAGTTGCAAATCTACAGGTACAAGATTGGAGACTTAATACCTTTGCAAAAGCATTATTTTTATCAATGTTATCATGTAAATTTGAACAGCTTATGTGAAAAAATCATGGAACTTTTGTAATGATAAAATCAGTTTTGGTACCAGTATTTGGTTGGAGATAAACCAATTTGTAATTTTGTAATGTTAATCCTCTAGAATTTCATTATCTGCCCTTAACCTTAAGTAGTCTCATGTACATTATAACTGTAAACATCTGACATGACAAGATGTCACATTTATGTATTAAGTAATGTCATTATCTTTACAAAGCAAATGTATCCAATAATCTATCCAAAGATTTAGACTACATAAGGGGTAAATTCTGCCATTTGGCAACCACTGATTTCAACAGTATATATTGTCCCTGACTGATACCAGTGCATGCCCCAGAACCAAGATCCACTCAACAGGACCTGACATCCCCATTCTTCCATGCTTAGAACCACAAACGTCCATACATCCATCTCCTGTGACCATGTATATTAATTCTGAATCAGCTAACAATTCCAGCACAGACTAACCCATAGATAATACCTTCCCTTTGCTATAAGAGACTCTGCTCAACCATTACTTCAGCAATCAAGGAAGTTCTTGCATTAGCTCAGTAGAAAATTTTACAAAATTCACTTGGCAAGAAGCACCATTCCTAAATTGCAAATACTTTTCTTTTAATTTTGGTTAAATATTTTATTTGTTTCCTTTTTATTTAGAAAGAAGAAATGTGTTTTGGCATCTAGGGCAGAAAGAACCCCTAGGTTCTTTTCCCAGTTCTATACTTGTGAATTTCTGAAAGCTTGATAAAGACTTTAGGGCAAGATTTCCAAAGGTATTTAAGATAGGGCTAAGACAAACAGAGCACTTAGGCTCAAAAATAAAGCAAAAATAAAGCATTTTAGAAGACTTTAAGCTTACTAGCCCTTGGAGTGGAAGCCAAAGTCCTGTCCTAAGTTTCTAGGGTCTTCATACAGTTCAGTGGGAGACTTAAGTACCTCATATTGCTAAAACATTTAGCATTCTAAAGCATGGAACAGCACGGTCTGCAAGGAGGATGCAATTCAAGCACCTCATTCAGGACCCTCTCCTAAAGGCATATGCCTACCCCATTTCTTTCAAAGAACCGAACAAGGCTCAGTCATATTTTAAAACATGTGGACAGAGGAGACCACCACCCTCATATACCCGTATTTTTTCAAAGGAAAATGATAGCCGAGATGGCCTACTAAATCAGGCACCTCGGGAAACATAGCTGAAGGAACACTTAATTTCTGGATTCCAACCATGCTTAGGCCTCAGCTAGATGTCCTAATGCTGAGCCCTGTCAAGACTGGGGCAATTCTAAACCTGTGCAGAGGTGCAATGCTACACACCTAGAGAACTTTACAGTTAAAGAAAAACGAACTTACAGATGTAAAGAACCTCACATCTGGAGCTTTGGTACCTCTGAAGTTAGGCAGCAACTGAGCAAAGATTTTTTTGAACTGTGGTTTTGGATATGAGCCCCTAAGTCCTTTCTTGGGTCTAGCTAGTTTCTAGCAGTCTTTTCAAGTCCCAGATCCAGTTAGGCTTTGGATTCCTACCGATTTCAATGAGAGTTGGAGACCCAATGAGTTGATTTTTAAAGATGCACAATTCTAACTGCTTTCCACAGGAGCTGCCAGTACTTAGTATCTATGAAAACCAAGCTGTGTCCTTATACCCATCTGTAAAAGGGGTACATTACACATGGAGATTGTAAGACTCAATGATGTTACTTAATGTATTAAGCGCTGAGAATCGCTTCTGGGAGTGCAAATAACTTTCATGTCTTATTTTTGGCTGCATCTGTTGACAGTTGGAACAAGTAACAGCCTGTAATAGTCATAACACAACAGGATATTAGATTGTTACAGGGTTCCTATTTTGCTATAATGATGATCCAACAGTCAGAAAAACTTTGAGATCTAAGCTTCTAATATTAATAAACATTAAAGTAATTCTTCTGCTCATTACACCAACATTAAAGCAAGAGGGAAACTAGTTAATGAGATCGGGGTTACCAAATAACAATAAGAAATGCTAACTGAGAGCCAATTAGTTCTCTTATGCACAAGCTGACCTAATGTCTTGATGCTAAGCGAGGCTTTGTCCTCAGTGAATATACAGGCTAGGCAAGAAGTGAACAAGAGGGATATGGTGAAAGAAGGAACTGTTTGAGCTGGAACCACCTCACAACTTCAGATGGGACCAATATCACTCTGCCTGTACAATGGCAGCATTAGCAGAAAAAAGGGCTGTACAGGGCCTGAAAATAGCAGAGCGCCAAAATTACAGATAAATGGATTTTACAACCCAAATTAAAGTTGCGTCTGCCTCTGCAAAGTCTTATTTGGTCATAATGAGGATGCAGCAGATAGTTATTGTGACAGCAAGCTCAGCTCCCTATTGAGGGCACTTGGAAGGGAGGGATGAGAAGACATTGTTTGAATTGGTCTCCTTGCCAACTGCAGCAGGGACACCAATTTCATCAACGCAAAATAACAAGTTTCTGTGGTATAAGGCCAAAGGAAGGGGAGATGATTCCAGATGAAGCTCCAAGGAAAATAGGTTCCGTCTTCCCTTTTGATAAACAAAAATACCTACCCTAACTGGACCAGCATGCTCTCAAATTATTTATAGTTCTAGCAAATCAAATCGGGCAAAAAACTCTTCTCTGTGTAATTACAATAGCAGAAATCAAGGCAAACTACATTTCCAAAAAAAAACCCCAAACCCCTTTGTGGTCCCTTCATTTCTGGGCAGGAAAAAATATTTTTTAAAAGCTTTAAAAGCCTTCTCACAAGGTATGATACAGCATTAGCTGACAAACCTCCTATCTGGAGCGGGATTTCATAGACAATGTATTCAGGATATTTTTTAACAAGCCTACTCTGTTGGCACCAACCTGAGGGCTCCTTGTAGTCTTAGCAGCAACATGTTTCTAATGAGGAGCCACTGTTGGCAAATTAACTTGCATAGTGGTTGACTGTGTTTCACTTCCAAAGTATGTAACTTGTTAGGTGGAGGGGAGCCAGAGCTACATCAACCACACTAATTCCACCTTCCTACAGCTCCCTCTCTTCCCCAAGGACTCTAACAGTAACACTTTATATCTTCCTCTCAAAATACTCCCTAATTTTATAGCAAAGATCATTTTTTCAACATCAAAAAAAATCACCTTTTTTTGTTAATTTAGCTTGTGTTACCAAAAATATATGAGTTCATCACAAAAGTTTGCGAACACACTGAGAACTGGCAACTCACCGTGCGTTAAATTAAGATTAAAAAAGGCAACTGCAAAGCTACCAAGTACTAAATGACAAATTAGAGAAACTACTGCTTTTCCTTATGTGACATTGAGACTGCACCTTGAACTGTATATCGTATTCTGAGACAGCGTTTCTCAACCAATAGGTCGTGACCCAAAAGTGGGTCACAAGAATATATGAAAGGGTTGCGAACAAACTTTAAAAATGGATCAACAAACTTAAAAAGGGACTCTCCTTTAAAGGAGAAAAATGTGGGAAACCATGGCCTTTCCCTGGCAGAGTTCCAGCCTGCAAGGGGCTACTTGGGGCCTTGCATCCCCATACACCCACCCTCTGCCCCCCACACACTGTGGGGCTGGGGCCTGGGGGCGGGAGACAGTGCATTGGGAGTGAAGAGTACTGGGTCAGGACTGTCCATTGATGTTTACAAATAACTCCTGATACAAAAAAAGTTTGAGAACCACTGTCCTAAGCAACCTAATACAACACTGATACACAGAGTGGAGGAAGCTGTTGTGACTAGGATGCCAGGAACTTGTGAGGGTTCAAGCAGTATAGCCAGCAGGGTTAGAGATGGTTAAGTCGGGAGGTATAGCTTAGGAGGGAGACTATAAAAGATTGTAGGGGTATTTCTTCATGGGTTGCAAGAGCTGACAAATGAATTCCCTTTAATGAATTAGGGATGCAGAGGTGTTTGATACTGGGGAGGTGGTCTGGGAGTAACGAGAGTCTTGGCAGCTGAGTAAAGGAAAACAGAGCAGAGGGCACGCTGCACAGGAGTGTTTCCTGGACTCTCCTCTGCCAATCTTTCACAGAGGAGGAAAACAACCATTTGAAACATTACTGTCTATGCATAGAGCGAAATAAGCTGTATTTGCATGTAATGACAGCTACCAATTTCTCAGTGAAAACCATAGTACTTTCTCTGATGAGTTTCCAGGCTTGTCTACACAGAGAAGTCTAATTTGCAATTTGCTGCAGCATACTAACTACGCTTAAGATGGTTCACTGTAGCAGGTCCATGTAGCCAGGTGGCTCATAACACCACATGAATCATTGCATTCACACAGTAAAGATTTACTTTATTCAACGTTCAGTCTTGTAGCAGTTTCGTCTTTCTTCTAGGAACTGTTCATTGAGGAATACAGACCACAAAGCAGTCAGAAGCAGCTATGATTTTAGGACTTTGGGCCAAACCCTCAAATTCCTAGAGTATTATGATGGGAGGGAAGAATGTTTGCCTCTGGGAAAGTCAGACAGACACACATCTTATGCCTGGCAGCCTTCATTCTCCAGGACTGCAGGAGCCCAAAGCTCATTGGACACTGTAGTGAGGATGTTTCCCCCATTACTGCAAACACGGCCAATTTCTGCCTGGGACACAGTCAGACACAAGCAGCCCACAGCTACACAGTGCACAGGATGCACTAAACATTGTACTCCACTGAAACTACGGGGGAGGGAAAACTGTCAGGAAGCCACGGGAGGTGATGGAGGCAGATTGCAGTCAGGCTCAAAAAGGGGCTGGAAACATTCAAGGATGATAGATCTATTAATGGCTATTACACAGAGTGGTTGGAGAGGTTTCCTTTGGCTTCTCTAACCCAACAATGGTGGATGCCAGGGAAAGTACTGAATAGGGGATATATCACTCTAGAGATACCTTGTTCAGTGCTCGCCTTTTATAGCATCTACTTCTGCCGCTGTCAGAGACAAGCCAGTGGTGGGCTAGAGGGACCATTGGTCTGACCCAACATGGATAGTCTTACATTCGAATGTTCAGAGAGGTGCACTTGCTAATGAAAATGTAGGATCATATCATGTATCACTCATTCCTATCATCATCCCCACTGCGAATGTAAGAACTGCCAGGTACCGGGTCAGACCGCAGGTCCATCTGGCCCACTCTTCTGCATCACACAGCTACTCTCTGCACCTCTTCGTTTACGCACTCCCCATCTGCAGCCCCACCAAGTCCTGAGACTTCCTACTCAACCTCCTCCTAGCCCTAGCCAAGCTGGCAATATACCTGACCAGGAAGGAGGCTCTGGCTGGCTGTACCCCTGGGGAATGCAGGGCTGTCTTTCTGTCCCTTGCCTGTTCGCATCTCTGGGCAGTCATTCAAGGGCCAGCGGACACTGTTCAGTGTCCCCACCTTGGTGCACTCATTTTGAACCTCTGACCTTACTCCCATCCTTGATTTCCCTGTAGTTGTCCCCCCAAAATCAACGGGTGTATACCCAATATCCCTCCCCCCATAACAGGGGGGCTAACAATTGCTCCATGAGAGTCAAGGCCACCTTAATTCTATGAATCAAATAGGCCTGTGTCACACAGCTACTCCCTGCACCCGTTTCATTTATGCACACCCCACCTGTGGCTCCACCAAGTCCTGGGACCTCCTGGTCAGCCTCCTCCTGGCTCTAGCCAAGCTCCCAAAGAGGAATTTTCCCTGCTGTCTGGGTTGGTCTAATACAGAGATACCGGATTTCCCCTCAGAAGCGCCTCAATGCTTATTTGCATCCTTTTCTCCGGTAGCTTTTCAGCAAATCCGATCGTATCCTATTTCCTAACTGAGACCTGGCAGGGCTGAAGACCGGTGGGGGAGGGGGTTGTGCTTACCCCAGGGCTGTGGGCCCGGCGCGGGGAACGGCCTCCCCTCACCACACCCGGCTCCCGGCGCCGGCTGGGCCCCGCCGCCCGCGCTCCACTTCCGGCCTGCAACCCCCGCGGCCTCGCCTCAGCGGGCAGCCCTGAGGGAGCTGCTGGAGGCCCGGCCCGACTCGACTCCCCCCTCCTTTCACCTCCCACGGATGATCCCCGCTAGGGACGGCGCTTGGGAGCGCTTCTGAACCAACCGGGATGATATTTGGGAAGACGCCGCCTGCCCCTGGTTTCCCATCGCGACCGAGGGATGGGCCCTGCACAAACACCACCCGCTGCCCCTTTCTGCCAAATCGCTAGCGAAAGTATCAAATAAAACCCAGACTGGCCCGGGGCCCTGTCGTTTCCTCGTTTAGGGCACCGGTTTGTTGTGGTAAAATTGACCTGTGTATTAGTGACTGATGACAAGACTTTTTGCTTCCTTTTTAATTTCCCTTGCGAGGGCTTCAAGTAGACAACTCCTTGTAAAGATGCCCACCCCCACCCTTTTGGGGGGTTTTTTTGTTGTTGGGGGGGTTGCACAATTCAGGGAACGCTGTCCCCAAATCTTAGCAACTTTCCCATGGGCTGTGACATGCCCGTCACAGCCGTGTTTCATCATATTGTGCCGTGTTTGGGCACCACATCAAGGTCACATTAAGCTGCGAGGTCCTGGGTCTCCTCTCATTGCACTGGGCACGTTTGCAAAGTCCAGATCCTGAAGGTGATCTGTGATTGCCAACATTATGCAACTTGTATAAGGAGACAGGCTGTATATTGTGATGGTATTGCAGAAGACTAGAAAAATGCCTAGCTACAGTAAAGAGTCAAACAATTCGACAGTCCTGTAGACTGATAATGCACATGCTTTAGATCAACAGTTCTTGGACTGGTTTAGAGAATAACAGCTGGCATCTGCAGAGAGCTGGCTGCTCATATAGCATGCACCTTTCTTGTTTCCGCTTGACCCATTTAATCAAATTAAAAGAAGATCCTCTCATTAAACATTTTCTCTGTTCTTTTTTCTTCCATCCATGCAATTGCTACAGATGTCCACAGAGATGATGTGTGATTGTGAATGGGTGGGAAATCATCCATGCAACAGGGTCAGTCAGTTGCATTATACTATACGAGAGAGGAGAGCTCCACAAAAACGATCATTTATTAAGATGTTGTTAGCGTGTTATGTGCATGGGGGAGGGGAGACACCACTATTGATACTTAGAAATGTCTGTAATTTGTATTAGTAATATCTGTGACACACGTTAAAAAATCCCAAATCTAAGGGTTCCCCCTTTTATTGATTGTTGCTTACTGCATTTCCATGTTGGGGTGTGGGGAGGGGAGAGGGAGAATAGTAAAGCAAACATCTTAGCAAAATTACAAACTGAATAAGAACAGAATCTAAAATAATCCAAGATCATAGACTGCCAATGTTCATGGTGTGGGACATACGTGATCAACGGATGGGTCCTGAAGAAATATCACCCCCTTGCCCTTTTTTGCAAAAAATTTATTTAATACTTTCACTAGTGAAAGTATTAAATAAAACAAAAACTAACATAGGGCGCTGCAATTTCCCTAAAGACTTCCTCATTTATGTCACCCATTTGTTATGGTAACAGTTGACCTTAGTTCATTATTGACTTAGGTTTTGAATTGATTACCTAGAGATGAAAGACTTTTTGCTTCCATTTTAATCTTCAGATCTACCCAATCACTTTGAAATTAAATTTTGGTACATGAAAAAAATAGAATATTGTATCAGGTTTATTTGTCCAATGTTTATTCATAGGGAAGTACAGTCTGAGTTAGAAGGATTTGATTTGAAGCGCAAGATTCAATAATTCTTTTCATTAGTCTTCCTTGAAACAGGTCAGTTTGTCATTGCAGTGTCCCTAGATGGTTAATACTTTGAACAGCATAATTATTTGAATTGGTATTTGTTTTAAAAGATTTGAAGGTGCTAGAGGGTATTAAAATTTGTTATTACTAATCCTGTATCATGGACTTAGTGCTTTTCAGAACCAAAAGAACTGACAGCCTTTTAATTCAGCTCATCTCTTCATCGTATGTTATGTTAAATTTAAACACATTTGTTGAATGTCTTGCTACTGGCGAATTATTTTTGATGTCTCCTTCCGGCAAGACTACAATATCCCTTTAGCCATAGGACTGTATAAGCATTCATATTTGCTAGATATATGCATTTCCCAGGTAACCATAATCCAGTTACTGCTATGGACAGAACTAATTGGGCTCTCATAATGAGATTCATTACCCAGTGGTGGAATTATGGTTAATTCCATTGACATCACACCACACTCTGATGCTGGGTAAAAATTGATATAACTCATTAATGAGCTACTCCCCTGTCATTTCCTTCACTTTCTTGAGGTTTTGCTATTTTATATTATATGAAAATTCAGGCAATATGAAGACTGTTTATACTCAGTAATTATGAAAGACAAATGCAAGAACTCTTTCAAACTTGAGGAATAAGTGTTTAGAGTTAGAGACCAACAAAATGATTGTTTTTTTATCTGCTACCAAGTAGCACCCAGACCTCATCCATCATTGACCAGAGTGGATAGCTTAAAAATATTGCACAGAAAATGATCGGGAACATGTGTCTCTTGAGGGGTTATTGCATCAGGCCTGCTGCATTTGAAAATGGTGGTTTCAATTCCCATTAATCCACCTCCTCAATTAGGAAATTGACTGATCTGTTGCTTAGAGTTGTTGAAGACTGGCAGTTGTCCATGGTGGATCAGAAGCTGTGCATACAGATGAAATGTTATTAGCTGCCATTTCTGTAGTTTTAAGTAGACAGGAATTAAATGGAGCCATGGATGAAATGAAAAAAAAGTTTAACAGAGCAGAAAAATTACATTTCTGACCTGTGTTTGTAGAAAATTGAAGATTTTTTTTCTAAGGGATATATGTTGAATTTTTTTAGCCCTGAAAAAAAGGCCTCAGTCATATTTTGGAGGCCATGGAAACATTCAGTTGATATAATCTTAGAGAAACTTGTGGATTAAAAGGAGGATTTGGCTGAAGGACATGTTGCTTGTCAAAGTCACTTCATTTAATAAGTATCAGGTGTAGCCAGAAGGGACAAGGGATTCCATGTTAAAAATGTTTGGAACTTCTGTCATGAGCCAATGCACATAATCATTCCATTACTGTAAGAGTATTGCAGCAACTAGCAGGTGGCTGTTTTTAATTATGCCTTGCCTGACTGTTGGAAGCCACAGTAGGACTCTGCTTGCACTGAACTCCAGTGTAGGATGGACTAAAGATCTGTGTGAAAAAGGGAAGCTGTCTCATGGAATCAACCCTATTATTTTGTACTGTAATCTTGACAGCTTTTGTACCCTATACAGATGGGTATACCTATGCTTGAGTAAGTATCTGGATGAGAAACCTCTAATGAAAACCCAGGTTGTGAAGGAAGGGAGATGACTGATTTAGTAGTTAGCTTTTTTTGCTCCGGGTCAATAACAAACCTGTTGCTTCCATGTTTTACTAGAGGGCATTGTGGTGCTAGAAGTGTTGCTGTCATTGAGATGACACACACAACAATAATGACCACTTGTGATTGTTAAATAGCCTGTGTCTGTTTTCACAAAGGCTTGGCTATTAGTTTTGGGTATCTTGGCCACATTCCAGTTTGGATAATTACATTCTGCCTTCCTATTTTTTTCTATGCAGTTTCAACTGGGTATATTATTCACTTTCTGTCCTGACAAGTGCTGTGAAACAGCTGACGTGTTCCTCCTTGCCATGGGAGCTGCATATGTAGAGTGGTAATTGCTTTACTATCCTTCCCTTCTTACAATTACAGTGTAATTAAACAAATATGAGTGATGAAATAGACCAGAAATCAAATAGCACAATCCCAAAGCTGGTTTGAGAAGTTAAAGCTAATGAAAAATCATAGGAAAATGCAGCCCAGTTCCTTCCACCAGCACTCCGAAATAACTGTAGACTCAGTGAAGAACCTCAAATGTAACCATCTTTTTGCATCCGTTTGAAATTCATACCTTAATTAAAAAATAAGTGGGGGTATGGAAAGAAACCAAAATCTGAAAATACTCCAGCTTAAAACAAATTCATATTGGAGACTCTTAGATTTTGATGGGAGCATGCGTGAGTTCAAGAACCTGTAATACTATTGACAGCAGCATCCAGTGATTTCCTGCACCCCTGGTGTCCCCCAAGTTTCCAGGGAATATGATACCTCATCTCTTTGGAAAATGCATCACCTAAATCAGGGCTGTCCAAATTCTTGACAGCCAGGGGGTGCATATCGTGAGCTTCAGACAGGGGGCCATAGGCCATGCAGGTAGCTTAGGTCTCCCCTGCTGCACACACAGCCTCATTCCACTCCCAGAAGACCCTGCTTCTGGCCAGGGATGCCATACAGACAGCTCCCCCCTCCACTACTATGTGCAGCACAGGCAGCCCAGCTCCCTGCCTTGCTGTGTGAATAGCCCAGCACTCTCCCATACAGCTAGGGTGGCCATTCATCAGGTTTTATAGAGGACAGTCTGGTTTTATGGTCCTCTGTCCTCTACCAGACACCTTTATGTCCTCTGTTTTTCAGCACCCTTGCCGCTGACCCCACCATGGCCACCTGCAGGAGCTCCTCACTTGGCCCACCACCGACACTGCTGCGGCTGCCTGTGGGAGCTCTCCACTCAGCCCGACCCCACTACCAACACCGCTGCAGCTGCCTGCGGGAGCTCCCTGCTCAGCCTACCACCGCCGCCGACACCACTGCAGCTGCCTGTGGGAGCTCCCTGCCCCCGTCGCCGACACTGATGCCGCCACCTACTGAAGCTCACTGTCCTGTATTCTTGAGGTACCTCGATGGCCACCCTACATACAGCACCGGCATCCCAGCTCCCCTGTTTGGCAAGCAGTTCCCCACTCTGCTATCATGCACATTAGAAGCAGCCCAGCTCCCCACCACCATGCATGCGTAGCCCAGTCTCCTCCCCCACTGCGTGTGCAACATGGACACCCCAGCCCCCTCCTGGAGTATCACCCCACCCACAGGAGTGGGGGCAGGTAGCAGAAGCTAGGTTGCAAAGGGGGAGCTCAAAGACCCCAGCTGCTGCTGCATCAAAGTCAAGGAGGGGAGCAGTGGCTGGACAGGAGTCCACAGGCAACATGTTAGCCCATCATGAGCCACATGTCACTTCCAGGCCACCAATTGGACAGCCCTGACCTAATTCATGATACTCATCTTACAATTCTTGCCAATTTCTCCAACAAGTTCAAAAGAATATATGGATATGTATATCTGCTCATCAAACAGCACTTGGCAGGATAATTGGTTCAGTAACAAAGCACATTGGGTTCCTATTTCCAATACTAACTGTTTTTTAAATAGTTATCTCTACCTCAAAGTCCTTTAAGTTTCTTTGGTCTAATTTTCTTCCCTCCCTCACTTTCAAGGTGTCATTCCTCATTTATACCATTGCAAGAAGAAAATAAGATGTTATTTGTCTGATGGCTTAGCATTTTTTGTTTCCTCCAAAAGGGAGTATTTTAGTTTTTTAACCCATTCTGCATTTACAGATACCAGTTTGCCTGAGGACTTTTGCATTTTTTTTCTTCGTGCAAAATGATTGGTTAGGAAATATTGCAAGTACCTTTGAATATTGACACTTTACACTCCAGTGTTTTAACATAGCACTTCTACGATTTAATGCATTTCTGTGGATAGGTGGCTTGAGTTTATCCCTGAGCATTACATTAATCAGAATTTGAGAGAGGCGAATCCAGAACATGCATAATAAATGTTTCAGTTTTGCTCGTTTTCTTCTCTTTTTCATTTGGTGATTTTTCTTGGACAGTTTTGAAAAACCGGCTTTCTGCTGTAGGGAGAGCTTTCCAAAGGGGAAAACAAGAACTCATCACAAGTTTTACACAGATCAATACTGGAGGCAGCTAATCAGCTTTCTTCAATAATAGGTTGACTCCCTTTGGAATCTGTCAGACTCTATTTCAAACTGATGAGTCATTTTGACACTTCAGTAAATGCCTTCATTTAGAAATTGAAGCCTTTCCATATAAACATTGTGTTTAACCCATCATTTATTTAGCTACCATATAAACAAAATCTTTAACTGGATTCTTAGGTTTTATACATGCTAATAGCCATGTTATCTGAGTGCCTTACAGATACTAAAATAACATTAGCAGTGATTTGGTTCTCTTCTTACATCCCTCTGTTAATTGGAAAATCCTTTACTGGAGAAATCAAAGTTGAAAAAGTGATTTTGTTATGAGGACACTGAGAACTGTGGTCATGCACATCTTTTCTGGAAGTGAAATATACAGTATTGGGCGGATTATTGCGAAACCTCTGTCTCTCCTGAACACAGCTGTCATTCATTGTTTCTGAAGAAGAGAGCTCCTGAAGAAGGCTCTATATGAGGAAGAAAAGGTCCTTATGTAGTTTGGGCTTAATCCAATGAGAGCTTTGAAAATTAGCACCAAATTTTTGCATTTGGAACCTGGTTGCAATCACTGTGCTATTTTCTTTACAGTATTTTTATAGGTCTGCATACCTAGAGCAGACATGTCCGGCAAGAGGTAATTATCTCTTCCCATGATGTATGGTCTGGAGGGCTACCTAAATCAAACCACCAAACCATTTCATGCTCTGACTAATGTTCAGTATGGTGATGAGCATATAGCTACCAGCTCCTATTTGATAGCTAGTTATAGGCCATCAAACAACCATATGATGCCTTCAGATTCTCTTTTGTATCCTCTGAGTAACTGTTGATTGACTGATGTTTCAGGTACTATGCAGGTCTGTCATTCTCTCCAGTGCATGCTAGTTGGTGACAGGGAATATTAACCATTGCAAAAAATATAACTCTGAGTTCCCATTAACAGAAGAAATCTCAAATATGATCAACTTGTTTATGGAATGAATGTTGATTTAATTGTTCAAAATCTCTAATTCTGTCAGATTAGGAAGACTTTTTATATAAGGTATTTAACTATGTATTCACCTAAGAAAAATGTCCATAAAAACCAACCACTGTATAGCTATTGCTTATGACAGAATCTTAAAGGACATTTGATACTTTAAATTATCTCAAAAGATGTGTCAGGTGAGCATTAGTATTGTAACCATACAGAGAGGGAAGCTGAGGGACAGAGGTTAAATGACCTAGTGTCACACAGTTTGACAGAATCAGGATTCTGGATTCCAGTCCTGACTCCTTCACCCCTGCTATGACAAATACTATGACAAGTCACATTCTCCGTACTCTCATTTCATTTGTCATGTAATAATAAAATTTCTATTTCAGATTTCTTATCCCTCTCAAATTGGATACATTATCATGCAGAATGAATCACTACAACATAGAGTTCACAAGTACATGGCAGGATAAATACTTAAAATAAATCCTGTGTTCTCTCCACACTGTAATAAGCTCACTGATGGATAATTCTAAAGAATAATTACATGCCTTACACTTTGCTGGCGTTCAGAACCACCTACAGGAGGGTGGAGACAGATGTCAGGAAAGAAGACAGACAGCAGGATGTTAATATTCAGTTTGGCAGACAAATTAAATGATGAAATGCACAGGGGATTTCCAGTATCTGCACATAAAAGGGGATTTTCAGTAGAATTAAGGAGCAGCTCACAAATCCTGTCAAGTGCAGTTAATGTCTTTCTATGTCAGCTAGCAAGATGCATCATTTCTCTCTGTTTTATAGAAGTTTGAGCATTGGCAGATCATAATCCTCTCTATGTGACATCACATTGATCTCTGTGCTGTGAATTTCAGTAGCATCACTCTACTATATCAACAAAAAAATAAAAAGGAAAAAGTGTTACTTTAGGGTTAGAATTTAGTTATCTGAACTTTAGGCTGCATTTACATTTCACTTGGAGATGGAGATGGATTCTTTGAGACTGCATCCAGGCATATTTGAGCGAAACCAGCAGACCTGTACACTCCCAAACTTTTCCAAATCCAGGCATCTGTTGTAAGCTCTGTGTTGATAGCCCACCTCTCCCCATGAAGGGAGAGGTATCTTGGTTCCTTTTTACATTACTATGGATTTTTTTTTAATTCAGCTTTTTATACATTCACGAGCATGCCAAGACTGCTGGCATAGGTCAGTCTTGGCATGATTCCAGGCCTGGATAGACCTCTTCTTTCTATGCCAGCAAGCAAAATCCACAGTAGAAAGTTAACCAGTTGATCTGACAGTAGCCATGACTTTAATCTCACCATAGAGTTTTTCACTTGATCATGAATCCCCGCCCCAAACATCTGGGAGAATCAACTTAGCTTCCTAAATATGCCAGTGGTGGTGTACGCTCTTATTGGGTGCATCTGCACGAGACATTTACTGCAGAGTTGTTTAATTAGCTTAGCAGTAAATGTCTTGGCATCAACAGGTGCAGCCTTATTAGGCCACAAGCAATAAACTCTGCAGCAGGTTAGTATTTGTAAATACACGTACTAACCTGTTGCAGAATTTTTAGTGCACAGCAGCGCATGTGTAGATGCTGACCCTGCTGGCTGAGACACAAGGATGCTTCAGTGTGGCGTCTACCTACCAGCTAGCCCTGCAGTAAAGCACCCTTCTGCCCCAGGCAGCCCTCTGCAGCAAGTTGAGCCAGGTTAGAGCAGCCCCAAGCTGGCAGGCTGACCCCACCTGCCAGCTGGGGCTGCTCTGACCAAGCTCAATGTGCTGCAGTCTCAGGTGCACATGTAAATGCGGTGCCCAGAAGTAATAAACTCCAGTGATACACACCAGATATGCACCATATTAATTACTTCACATTAATATGCATGTGTAGATGCACCCACTCTTAAGCAAAGTCTGGTCCAATAAACAATGAGAACCTGGGCTTTATTTTGAGGCCACATGTGTTTCTTTGATGAGAACCATCATGAGAGGTTGGTTGCTGAGGATTACCACAGAAGAAAATGAACATCTATAAAGAAACAATTAAAAAAACCCTAACCTGAATCAGTTTAACTGTAACAGGATCTCTCCCTTATTTCAGTGCTGGTTTAAACACCTGAAATCCAGTCCTCATAAATTTTAAATAAAAACCTTACAGAAATTATACAGCCTTGGGGCATAGATTGTTCTGTTTCACTGGTATAAACCCAGGGTACCACCACATCAGATAATTAGAAGTGACTGAAACAAACAGGCTAATCTCCTTATTAAGCTGATGGGCAAAGTATCCTTAAAGTGAATATTTTCCTCCAGTTACATTAACTCTAATACACTGTCAAAAATTACTTTATTTGGAAAACTAAACCTGTATCTGTGAGTGTCGTCTCTTGGATCTGTCAGAGGCCAGCAATCTCACCTGTTATGTAGTTTGCTATTAGCAGCGGATGATCCTGCTAAGAGAAGGTAGGTTTTGCTGACACATTGTGATCTGGGCTCATTATAACACTTTCTTAGGAGATAATTTGTAGTGGCTCTACAGAGAGGACTTAGGTGTGGACTGAACAGTCCTTGGAAGGGAACCCTGGGAGCTACAGAACCTTAGCAGAAGGTTTGGGCTGTTTTCTCTGATACATAGTTTTGTGAGGAAGCAGGTTTTATCTTGCTGTTAAGTAGTACAACCTATGGATAGATCAGAGGAAGGTGCTGCTTGCAGAAACCAAAAGGTCTGTATGGCAAATCAGACACAACACACCTTGCGTGATTATTCATTAGGGCTGTGCGAAGCTTCGGGTGCTGATTTGATAAGGAGGAGATTCAGCCCGATTTGGTGACTGAATCTCCGAATCCAAATCGAATCAGGAGACCAATTTAAAAGGTCTGAATCAATTTGAAGCTTTTTTTTTCTTCAAAGAGCTAGGAGCTGGGGCCGGGCAGGGTTGGGAGAGCGGGTGGGGGATGGGGCCTGTGTGATTTGGAGATTCGGCTAATTCAATAGCAGCCGAATCTCTGAATCAGATTTGGCTGAATCGATTCGGGACAGTGATTTGAATCACCAAATCAAATCACTGTCCCCTGAATCAGCCGAATTCGAATCCAAAGCAAATACTAGCCGCTTTGCACAGGTCTATTATTCATGCCTGCATAAGAACTAAACTTACGTATCCATCTGAGCTTCACATTTTAATTCATATTTCCAAGCAGAGGGGGAAGCATCTCATATCCCCACCTGCACCATCTTGGCTCCCTCATGTAATTCCCAAAAGGCCATTTTAGTAGGAATCTTTCCTACCTCTGTTCACTTCTATGTACTTTCTCTTAGATGAATTGTCCCAGTGTCATTCCTTGTCTCTTTAATTCTGTAAGCTCTTTGGAACAAAGAACATATCTTACTGTGAGGGCCTGATCCTGAAAACTCTCCATATGTTGAACACCTATGGACTTCAATGATAGTATAACCCACTGAAAGCTCACAGGATCAGCCCCTAATTTAGTAAACAATGATGTAGGGTTCTGTTAGTTACTAGTAGTAAGAATACAGACCATGATCCTTTGAATACTTACATATGTTTTGGTATCTAACTGTTCTCATGTGAGGAATCCCAAGGGAAGTTAGCATCTCACATCTGCAAAGTTAAGCACATGCACAAATGTTTGCAGAATTAAGAGTTCCATGTGTTGCTCATCTTCATCCACTATTGTAACTTTTAGGTGTTGATAGTAACATTTAAAACCAAATAAGTATGAAAAATCCTATGTTTTGTTTGAAAGTCCCATGGAAAAAAATTAAAATAGGAAAATAATTTGGGTAAAAAACTGATGCGGTGTTATTGCTTTGTTTTGTGTTTTCAAAGTGTAAAGGAAGGT